CACTTTCCAATGATTTTGGCAATTACTCTCAAAGTTTAATTAGTTCACTTTTTCCAGCTTAATTTTCTGTACAAACTTAATAAATATTTGACCTTTAGCCACACTTTGCCATGCTCCCTGTTTTTCTAAAGTGCATAAATGTATGTGCTTCATTTCATTTTTTTCCCTGTGGGACAAATTAATGAGTTAATTCACCAATTTTGCTAATCTGGTTGGCGCTATAAGGCAGATCTTATTTAAGATACTTCCCTGGCCTTTGTACAAAACAAGACAAAATAAGCAAACAAAAAACAAATGCCCCTTAATGAAAGGGGGGGAAATTGATGAGCAGGAAGCAAAATATTCCCATGTGACATTTTCCCTTGTCTTTCAAACCAACTGTTTCATGGAAAATCCTACTGTGTGTACTGGGTGCACCCTGAAGTCTTCCAACAGATTTGATTGTTGTTTAATAGTCATGCAATAGGCTTCCAGATACAGCCTCATTTACTCAACCTCAAAATATTTGGTTGGCCTGCCAGGAGATCCCAAATCTCAGAGTGCCAAAGTCACATCAAAATTTAAGCACAGTTCACAGAGCTTGTCACCTCCTATTTCGAAGAACTAAGAACCATGAAGAAATCTTTTATTTTTTTTTACATCAAAGGGAGGAGATGCATTTGGGAGTGAGGAAGTGATCTGGGGAAGGGAGGAGAGTTGGACACATTCAGTTACACCCAATTAACAATTAACTAATTTGAAGTGATACTATGCTGGGATCTTCAACCCAAAAATTGCCTTTAAAAAAAAATACTCTGAGACTCAAACTAGTAAATGCAGCCTTGAGTATCAGAGTTTAGAAGAATGAAAGGTAAAAAGAAAATAACTTTGGTGAAGAAGCAACCTTTGCTGGGGAGAATGAAACCATAAACCCGTTTTAAGCACAGCACTCCACTTAATGGGGACCACAGATTGTTTAAGCCTATGATCAAACTCAGCCCCTGAGTTCCCTGAAGAAGTTCCATGCTGGCCCAGCCCTGAATGGCAAAGATTGTCTGGGAGGGGTGTTTAAGAAAAGAGCAGGATTTCCTACTTCAGTTCTCTCTCCAGCCTGAATGAAATGCAACTCTGTTCACTCAGGCACACAAAGGTTAAAAA